ATTGAAAGCAAGTCCTGGCTGATGAGCCTAAAACAGTGGTCTCCAACCTTTTTAAGTAGGAAATCGCTTTTGGCATTTAAAAGCAACCCAAGATCTACCGTGCACTGCTGTCACCCCCCACAGCAGGTAAGTCTCATAACACTTAATTCTGGACATTGTGAATTCAACCAGTGCGCTTACTTTTGTCAACTAGGGGTTTAATCCTCCCATTCTCTGGGTGTATTTCAGATATTTAGTCTCAGTGAAGCCAAGCCAGCACTTAGCTGGAATTTAGCAAGGAACCCCCAGGGAAGCTGGGTGTGGTAGGGCAACAGACTGAGGAGCAGGGTGGGACTCCAACCCGAGGGCTAGATGGGCCAGGGGAGTGGCCAGACAGTAGGCAAGGACCCATTCTGCATCCTGTGGCGTTGGGCACCTGGCAGCTCCCCATTGTTCGGGTGGATTCTAGCCCAAGCCAGGCCTCGACAGCAGCATGCAGCCCCTGCATATGGGGGCCTGAATGACCAAGTCTTTATACAGCAGTACCAGCTCACAGCAGACACCAGCTAGCACTTCTGCAACCTTCTGTGAGGCAGCCTGGAGTCATCTTACCTCACCAGTTTCTCACCCTCAGTATCCACAAGTTCAGCACTGCCCTTGCATTTCTGACCTTGGGTTCCTTCCAGAGGGTCAATGAGTCCTTGGCCTCTGCCGTCCTAAGCCAGTTCATAGACATCCTTATCCCACATACCCTAGACTGTTGTCTTCCCCATGGACCTCAGTGCTCTTGGACACAGCATGTGGCACTTTCTTGCATGACATGGATGATGCACATGTGAGCATCAAAGATCCAGTATGGGACTGCCCTTTGTTCATGAGCAGCCATTGTGCCTGGGTGATCAACTGCACCCATCTCATGTTCACTGAAGTTTTGGTCAAGTTTCCTCCTCCTAGCTATAATGCCTCCATCATACAGTTACTCCCATCTTTGATTCCATTCTACTCATCCCCTTTCACAATCCTCCCCTGATTCACCTTCTTCTCTATTTCCCTCTGCATATTATCCTTACCCTTTCCCACTTACATATTGCCTACATCTATATATATCTCTGCCCACCCCAACTGAATACCTCTGAGGGAAAAAAACCATGTGTATCTACTTTGGGCATACAGCAATCCATCACTGCAGTTAAGGAACGGGAGTTTTAGCTGGGATCTGCAGAAGCTAAAGGATAGACCTAAAGGAGGACTTTGATACCACAATGTTGAGCCTAGAGGTATCAGTGCCAGCCTTCCACTGGCACTATGGAGACAAATCCCTCTCGCCTCCCAGTTAGGACAGCCTCCTGGGTCGTGGCCCAGACACATTCCTGTTCCTACTCTGCCAGCTCTATAATTATGGATGCCAAAAGCAGCAGCAGCAGCAACAATGGAAGTTAAGTACCTCCATCCCAGGCTATCCCATAGCAGCCAGTCTATATGCAGGCATGGGCCTGGGAGGCTGCAAATCCTTTCAGAGGAAAGAGCTAATCCTGATTTCCCACCTCCTTCCTGGGTGATTGCTCTAGTCCCTAGCATCTTGGATGAAAGGATGACCCCCGCCTCTGGCATCAGCATCATTAATCTAGCCCTCGATTTAGTACTTTCCCTCAGCCTCTTATATTGAGAAAACTTGACCAAAGTCTGTGAAAACTTTCAAGACTACTGAAAGCACATTTATCTGTGAATAAATGAGCCACCAATTTAAACTCCTTCAGCTCCAGTCAAGTTTATATGAGGTGCCTGCCTACAGGATCAGGGGCTGGAGTCAATGGCCAAGGGGCCCTGAGGCCTCGCTTTTCTTTATACTACCCATTCATTTGGAGCATTGGGCCATCAACTGTAGAGTTCAACTGATGCCCTGAAACTTTTCAGTACGTGCAGCCCACATCTCACGTGAAGTGAGGGATTTCCCTGGAGAGTAGAACTTGGATTCCAATTAAGCACCGTGTTTCCAAAGTTTGCATGACAAACATTACACAATTCCCCTGGTCTTTCATTTAAAGACCAGAAACAGCAAAGCAAAGGCTCTTGGACACCTTGCAAACCAAGCCCTGGTGCCTTGTTCACAGGAAACCTAAGAAGAGAAGATACTGAATCAGCTTCCAGAGAATGACACAAGGAAATTCAAGGTAAAACCAACATTTTAATTCCAGCTAATTTTTCATGGTATAGGAGCTCTATGTAAACACAATCCTGGACATTGTTTTCTTGTACCTTCCTGTGTCAATTCAAGACCTTTTTTTTTTTTTCTTTTTCTTTTTCGGTTTTCTAGGTCCATTGCTGTTTTCCTGGATATATTTAATTAGTGGAAAGGAGGTCTTCTGTTCAGAAAAAAAAGAAGACTCTCTTTCTCTCTACATCTCTCAGTCTTGTCCTGGCTTAAATTAGTCTGTTAATCCCTATGTTCCTATAAAAACTGCCTAAGGAATAAATTAAATAATGGAAAAACAAAAATAATATTATTTTTAATTAGCAAATATCAAAAAAGCAATTTTTTATTCAACATTTTGGCAGCCATTTTTTATCTACATTTTTTAGGGTTTTCTTTCTCCCCCTGTAACAGTTTGCCACTGCCAGAAGGGTTGACAGAATTTGAGAAGGGAGGACAAAACAGAACTAAAAATCAGAAATTATTTTTTAGTTGTAAAAACAGATATTTTCCCAAAAACAGGAAATCTAAGTTATTTTTTTCAAGCAACTCAGTTTACCAAACTCTTTAACATTCAGAGATATATGCAAGATTATTTTTTTCTGTTGCTTTTCAATGTCTTAGTCAAGCATCTACCAAAACTAGCAAGACCCAGAGTAAAACACTTAGCAGCAGAGTTCATCAAACAAGGTAACTTTATGATATCTTCTAGAAACCATATTTCTAAAAATTATCCAAATTGTCAAAATGTTTCAAATTTAAAGTGTTATCATCTTGATAGTAAATTTGCAGAATGACTAGCTACCGCTCAATGGAGCTGTATCCTCTGCAAATGAGGATCCTTCTTAGCCTGACCCACTGTTTTCAAATATTCTGTATCTTCAAAAGAATTGCAATATGGACCTTTGCAGATATTCCCTGGAAAACCTGATCTTGATATCATGTTCAACTCCAGTGTTTCAGCTCTAAAAGCTGTTGAATCCCATAAGTTTCTCTTCCGTTTGTAACTGGCAAAATTCAGAAACAAAAAAAGACATTAATAAAATAGGAGGTAGTTCTGGAATTACCTGGGCACTGAGATGGGGGCAACTAAACTGCTTGTTAAAACAGTTTTAAAAATATAGTTAGAAGAAGCAGTGTTTGTTCACAGGTTATGTGAACCCATGCTAGCCTTTAAAGAAGCACCGGACCTTGCTAACCTCATCACCAGAAACAAACTCCCTATGACCCAAACCACACCCAATGGATCTGCAGCATGCCAGGACAATAAATACAAAACCTGCCAACATGTCTCTACCACCACAACAATAACTACACCCCACAATAGAATCATCACCATTCCTGGATCCTACACCTGCACCTCCAAAATGTAATATATCTCATCCAGTGCACCAAATGCCCTGATAGAAAATTTGTAGGAGAAACCATACAACAACTGCATGCCAGAATGAATGCACATGGGAAATCCATCAAAGACAAAAATACCCAACTACCTGTGGGGGCACACTTCTCACAAGACAGTCACTCCCCCTCCGATCTCTCAGTTATAATCCTCAAAGGCAACTTACAACACACCTTTCGTAGACAGGCCTATGAACTTCAATTCATCAACCTGGTGGAGACTAAACATCATGGACTCAACATAGACATTGGATTTATGACATATTGCAACCTGCCTGACAGCTGATTCACCTGGTACCTGCCTGACCTGACCTGACCGCTCACATCTCTTTTCTCCCCTCCCCTCCCCTTCTTCTCTGCCCTTTTACTTCTGTATTTCTTACCATTTCCTTTTTATTTATAGCCTCTTTTCTACCTTATTATTACCAATGTAGTGTTTTTCCTTTGGCCTTTTTTGTCCTCTGTTTTTCTTCTCTCCTCCCAACCCAGGACAAGCCCATCATATACTGAGAAACCTGCGGCTGCAGGGGGCCCTGCAGCTAAGGGGTCCCCTGTGTCTGGCCGCCTGCCACCCCCCCCCGCCTTCCCCTCCGCTGCTGGCTTCACATCCGGCTGATCACAACACCCCACAGGGGGCCCCAAAACTATTTCTTGCAAGGGGGCCTAAAAAAGTTGTGGGCCGGCACTGCCCACCAGCCCCCTTCCTACTTTACCTTTTGTTTTTTGTCTGGTGATGAGGTTAGCAAGTGTTGGTGCTTGTTTGAAGGCTAGGATGGGTGGTTCTGGAAAGCATGGTTCTTTCCAGAACCACCCATCCTAGTCTTTTGTTTTTCTAATTTCTAACCTTCTATATTTTCACTGACATCCTGTCACATTATTAGCTTCCTTCAGTCCTGCTTTCCTGATCTCCAGCTATTCCCTTTTTCACAAACAGCCTCTTTTCCACCTTGTATTTTATCACTGTTGTTTTCCTCTGACCTTTTTTTTTCTCTTTTCCCCTGCTCTCTTCCCCCTCCCCACCCCTGCTTTACCTTTGTCTTGCTTATCTCTACCTATTTACATTTTCACTGACATCCCTCCACACTTTTAACTTCTCTCATTCCTTGGAGTCTCAGACCAGCGGAGACTCCCAGTGCCTGAAGAAGGGTGACTGTTCCCAAAAGCTTGCTAAGAACTTTTTTCCAACTACTCAGCTGATCTAATAAAATATATCACATCTAACCAAAGAACCTTGCCACCTTATGGAAATCAAAGCATTTCACAAATGCATTACTATTTCATTTTTTTAATGGGTAAAAGTTAGAACATTTTTTTAATTGAGGGTCAATTCATTCTCTCAATCATTTTGAAAGATTTGGCTTTGGTAATGTTGTTATGATTCATTTCATATCAATATTTGTCTGGTGATAACTTCTTGTAGGTTCACCACATGGCAAACATCGAAAGGGGAAATCAAACCATCATCACAGAATTCATCTTCCTTGGATTTGGGAATCTACCATTACTGCGCATTCTGCTCTTCCTGCCGTTTCTCCTGATCTACATTGTGACCATGGCTAGGAACCTCCTCATCATCGTGCTGGTTGTGGCTGATCACTACCTGCACACCCCCATGTACTTCTTCCTGGGGAACTTGTCCTGCCTGGAGACCTGCTACAGCTCCACCATCCTGCCCAAGATGCTTTCAGGTCTCCTGAATAACAAAACCATTTCTTTCTTTGGCTGCTTCCTTCAGTTTTATACCTTTGGTTACCTTGCCTGTACTGAGTGTGTCCTCTTGTCAGTCATGTCCTATGACCGATACTTAGCAGTATGTGACCCCCTGCATTATGCAACTGCAATGAACTCAAGAGTCTGTGCTAAATTAGCTTCAGGTTCTTGGATAACTGGATTCCCAGCTCTCACCATAACAGTAAGCTTAATGTCAACGTTGTCTTTCTGTGGCCCCAATAAAATTGACCATTTCTTCTGTGATCTGACACCCCTCCTACAACTCTCCTGTACAGACACCCACATGGTCCACCTGGCAATGTTTGCCTTTTCTTCTTTAGCAGCATTCACCCCATTTCTGCTGACTGTCGCATCCTATGCTTGTATCATTGCCACCATCCTGAGAATCCCATCTACCACTGGGAGGCAAAAGGCATCTTCCACCTGCTCCTCCCACCTCATTGTGGTAGCAGTCTTTTTTGGGACCATAATCATTGTGTATCTCATACCAACAGTGGATACTTGGAGAGCCCTGAACAAAGTGCTGTCTGTCTTCTACACTGTCCTCACCCCAATGGTCAACCCCCTCATCTACAGCCTGAGAAACAGGGAGATAAAGGAGGCACTGATTAGAGCTCTTACTCAGTGGCAGGTCTTGCAGAAGGAATCATGATATTGCAGGTGCATTTTGGAGACTGTTTCATGCTCAGAAAGAATAAGCATTCAAAAATGCACATAAGTTAATAAAACAGCAGTTTCTTTTTCTTTACCACAGTTACTCTCTTTTCTTTCTATTAAAAAAGACATTTCAGAATTATATAGTAAAATTCACGCCAATGCTTATGGCCGATGCAAACATTGTCATTCTATTCTGTTCAGCATGGGCAAGGCCTCATGTGGTTGTACTGAGTCCAGTTTTGGCTCTCTCCAATTAGATAAGATTTTCTAGAAGACAGAAACAACATGACATAGAGAAAAGGCTGAAGGATTATTTAGTCTGGAGAAAAGAAAAGTGAAGTTGGGAAGCTGATAACATTCTTCAAATATGGGAAGGGGGGTTATGAAAAGGATGATGATAACAGTGGAACAGATAAAGAGTAACAGTATTCATTTACAGTGGGGGGAAATTTAGGATGATAAGAGGAAGAACTTTCTTGCTATGAGAGTGATTAAACATTGAAACAGACCACCTAGAGAGGCTGTGGAGTCTCTATCCTTGGAAGCTTTTAAGGGAAGATTAGACAAATATTTGACCAGAATCATTTGGACAAGGCTGATCCTGCTTTAAGCATGGGTTTGCATTCAATGATCTCTTAAAGTCCCTTCCAGCTCCTGCACCCCTTTTTCCCTTATGACTTATATTAGAGTAGTGTCTATCAGCCCCAGCTGGAATGGGGCCCCCTCTGTACTAAGCACCAGACACATGCATAGTGAGAGTAATTTTTTAATAATTTAAAATCTACAAAGACAGAGACTGGATTCATAGTGAAACTGGACAGAGGTGGGACCAGAACCCAATATCCAGGTCACTAACCTTCTCTGTCCCCTTTACATTATTCCTTCCTCATGACTGAAGTTGGGTTTTTCTTGTAGAAGGCTTTTCCTTTGGAAAATACAGATTCATCAAGACCTGACACCCAGGGATCAATCGCCATGACTCCGCTGATGCCAACAGAGATTACCACCGGCAAGGATCCTATCAAACAGAACCACATACGGGGAGCAGAACTTTCTCCTTTAACTTGAATGCCCCATCAGGGGCCCTAGCAGGAAGCCCACCCTGGGCTAATTGCCTAGTGGGCCACACCTGTTTGGGGTTTGACTGGCAGCCCTAGTCCAGCTAATGAGTCCAGCTAATGGCTCCAGCTTGCTGTGGTCTGGGCCTCCTGTTTGGCTGCTGTGCAAGCAGCTTCCCCATTTACCTCCTGTGGAGCTGTAGAGCAGACTCCAGGGCAGGCAGCAGTTCTTGCTGCAGGTCCATGATCAAGTACTCTTGGCTTCCTGATCCTGCTGACTGTTCCTGGCTTGTGGCTTTTCCCTTGAATTTGGTAATTCAGCCTCTGGCTTCTCACCTTTGACTTAGCTTGTGATTCAGACCTTGCCTATGGATTTCCCTGGGATCCAACACCTTGATATTGTTGTCCCCAACGGACAGTGTGAGTTCGTGCCCGGTGTGCTTTTGCCAATAAACACACAGGGGTGGAGGATCCAACTTAATCTTTATTGTTTCCAGTCTGTACAGAGAGGGGTGCTTGGCGATCGTTCGCAAAACAAGCACACCGGTTTCTACCTTTGGGTACCTTTTATACATATGTTTGCAAGTGTATCGCTCAGTGATTGGTTACAAGCCACTGACATAAGACGTTCTCTACTGAGCATGTCTCTACACCTATGTTTTAGCCATGTATTTCATTTACATACATATATGTTTCATTAACATACTTTTGCCCTGCCCAGGGGTGTGATTTTTAGCATTATAATGAAACCTTTTTCTGAACTTCTTGCTATCTTCCAGGTGTCAGGGAGACATTATCCTGCTGGTGTTAGGGAGGCATTCCAGGAATCCTCCACATCCCACACGCCGTGCTCTGCAAGCATCTCTTAACACACACATACCACACCCCTCCCAGCACCAGTAAGTTGCCTCAAGTATTCAGTTAGATATAGTTTGCAAAAGCTAGATATACCATAAAAAAGATTACATAAAAAGATTACATCAATATCTATTTCCTAACTGTTGATTAGGCCTGTGTTTCAGACTCTGCCTTGGCCTCTGGTGCCCTAACCACTAGGCAAGACTGCACACAACCTGGTCCATTATAGTTTGGCTGGCTTCCACTTCCCCTAGCGTGTCAGTGTCTGCTGCAGGGCACGCCCCATTCCCCGTGATGGGCTCCTCAGCCACTGCAGTTGGCTGCCGGCAGAGCTGCTATAACACAAGGGCAAAGCGCTGCAGCTTCAGCTGCGATGAAGACTCCTCGGCAGAAGAGGGAGACGCTGAGGGCCCAGGCTGCTGCTCATAACTCCTGCTCATCCTTTCAGACCTCCAGAGGCACCTCTGCCCCTGTGCTTGAACAGCAGCCCTGGGAAGTTTGTGGGGTCTCTTCACCAGTGCTACCACCTATTTACTCCCTGTCCCCAGATCTACCACTCCAACGAGGAGAACGTGGGCATGATGATCCACCTCCTTTCTGGTGAAGCCCTGGATTGGGTTGTGCTGTGCTGGAGAGGTCCAAGTCCCCTCCTGGATAATGTGGATGAGTTTATTCAGGCTAGATCAGCAGTGTCTGACCCCATCTGGACCAGACCATTGTGGTTGGCCCTGAAAGGGCAGAAGTAGGGTCACAGTGGGTCCCAGCCCTGTTTCCAGAGTCCAAGAGGCCTGCTCTGGCTCCAGCCCTGTTCCCAGAGTACCTGAAGCCTCCTCCTGCTCCAGCTCCAGTTTCTGCCCTGTTCCTGGGACTCCCAAAGCCTGCTCCCAAGCCCAGCCCCAGTTCAAGCCCTGTCCCTGGAGTACAAAAGGCCAGCTCTGAGTCTGGCGCCAGCTCCAGCTCTGTTCCTGGTCCCTCTGCCTGCTCCAGCTGTAGTTCCTGTTCTGACCCTGAAACCTACTCAAGCTCTAGCTCCGGGGCTTGCCCAGTTCCCAGAGCTCCTAAACCCAGCTCAGGCTCCTGTTCCCATTCTGCACCCAACATCTCCAAACCTGGCTCTCGATCTGCCCTCTCTTTTTGCTTGGCCCTTGGAGCATTCAAAGTCTGCTCCAGTCCCTGCCCTGTTCCCAGAGCATCCCTAACTCACTCCAGCCCCAGTGCTAGCTCTAGCTATTTCTTCATTCCTGTAACCTCCAAGGCCCACCTGGATTTCAGCTCAAGCTCCTGCATGGTTCTTGGCAAATCTGGTTCAGGCTCTGGCTTCAGTATAATGTGACATCTCCAAATCCAACTCTGGACCCAGCCTCTATCCCTGCACTGTTCCCAGAGTACCTCAAGCCTGCTTCTGCCCAGTTCCCAGGGCCTCTATATTTGGCTCTGATTTCTGTTCTCACTCTGCACCTGGAGCATTTAAAGTCCACTCTTACTGCAGCCCCAACCCTGGAATCTCTTAAGTCCACCCATTTTTCTCCAGGTAAAAGGAAACTAGAAGATTTACTAATACATGGGGGGCCTATAGCTATATTTGTTCAATTTAAGGTAGAAACAAAAAGAAATAACTTGATTGGAAACTGCATTCACTTGCTATATCATACATTATTTTTGACTAGCTTGCTCTTTTGAATACATAAACAAAAGATGTTTTTTCTTTAGTCCTGTAGTCATTAGCATTAAATAGACATCTTTTTCAGAGTCATAAAACAAAACCTGGCCTTCTTAAGCATCTTGGCACTTCATCCAATACTTTGGTGAAAGTTATTTCTGGTAGACCCTGACTCCATGTGGCACCCAATGACTACAGACGAGGATCCAATTGCCCATGGATCCTATTACTCATTAGCCAGAGCAAGCAGGGAGCAAATACCAGCACACATTGCTCACAACAGCTTTATTCAGAATGGAGACAGCTTTGGACAAAGGTCCCAAAAAACAACAAACCAGGGACCTGCCCTGAACAACAGTTCTTTTCACTTTTTATACACCTTGGTTCATAGTCAGTAACATTCCCCTGCCTTCATCCTTCCTCCTGTTCCACTCATTTCTCCTCCCATTTCAAGTTTCTCCTCTGTTTACTCTTTACTTCATTAGCATAGACTTGCCTATGCATTTCATGCATTGACATGCCTCTCTGCTAAGAGTGCATGCGTAAAGCCATGAACTCCGGTACTCTCAGCGACTTGCTGGTTCTTTCTTATTCTTTACTGATTTCAGCACCATCTCCAAGGTCTGGCTTCTGTCTTATCTCCTGACAATAGCTGGTGGGCTGCGTCTTGTTCTTCTTATACAAGGAATCATGTATCCTGCACACTATTCCATTGTTAAAGAAACTACTTGCCTAAGCATTTGCATGGTTAGCCTTAATATATCATCCTGCCTTGTGACTAGCAGCTCTGCTTAGACACAGGTTAAAGCCTTGTTCCAGCTGCAGGTTCAATGCTCCTCAATAATCCAAATTATTCTTACCCTAACAATTTCCACACCTGAATTAATGTTTTTACAACAGTTAATGTTTTTAGCTAGAGTTAAAAATAAGCTACAGGACCATGAAATAAACTACAAGTTAAAAATAAGCTACATTCCCAGAAGCAGCTAACAGAATTGCAGGAGAAAGAATAGCTTGATTAGTGAAACATTATGACCATTAAAAAAGGACAGAGAGTCATTGAACGCCTATGAAATGAAGAGTTTAGAAGGAATCGGGTAGCTTGTAATGATCCAGGAAGTCAAGCCACTCCTTCTGCTGCCTGAATAGAAATGCTGCTGCCGTTAGCGGCGTTGCTTATGCAGAACTGCATCTTCTGTATATCAGTGACAAGGCTGGTGGAGACATCATAGTTCAGATCCAGGTAGACAATCAAGTCCCCGTCTTTGTTCTGGAAGATGCTGGTCTCTGGATATTTTTTTATGAGAGACCAATGGGTACTTTGAGTTCTGAGCATGGGATAAGGGAAATTTAGGGTTTCAGAGCCTAACAGACTTTAAGATGTGATTGATATCCTAGTCTCCTGGACCCTAGGTAGTGGACATGAGCTATAGAACCCCTCTGGATTTCTGCACCAACTCCCATAATTTTTTGTTACCTAAAATATGTATTTTAGAAAAAAAATTTCCAGTCCTCACTTAAGCCCAAGTAGTTCCAGTTGGAATATTTTTCTCCCTAAGGAAACTTGAAATATTTCAAAGTTTTTATGGAAATTTAAATTTTGTAATGCTTCCTGGTTGGGAGCTGTAATTTGGTTCTCTTTTGCCTACTCTTCTCTGGGCCACAGTCCTTCTTCAGACTGCATCTCCCATAATATTCTATAGTTTCCACTCCTTGGTGACAGAAGGAGCTGCAGCAAATCACATAATTGAAATCTTTATATGATGGGTTATCAGGTCAGGGCTGAATGATGAGGATGGTACCCACAGACATACCACTCCTCTTACTAGCTGCTAATTCTACTGAAGTACCAAGCAGAGACATGAGTCAGGGCTTGCAGTGGGTATCCGTGTTGTAAAAAGCTTTAAAAATTCAGTTTTGTTTTATTACTGTCATGCCCAGGAGCATATATAATCTTAGAACAGGACCCCACTGCATTAGTACCTGTTATTTCAAGTAGTAAACTTAAAGCACCGTAATTACGGCCCATTAATGAACGTGTAGATGAGCCCACTGACTCACATGACTCACAATTTGATCCCACATGTGAGTGCTACGTGAATGAGATGCCTATGTAAATGTAAATAGCTAGCTTATAAAGCACCAGAAGATGGCAGTGCAGGACAAGTACAGAAAGCGGAGATGGCTCAAAAATGAAGGCAGACAATTACAGACTGGAAATAATGTGCTGCTTTTAAATATGAGAGTAATCAGCCATATGAACAGCTTGTGAAGGACTGTGGTGAATTTCTTCTTCACTGGCAAATTTCAGATCAAGACTGGACTTTTTACCATTGATGAACTGTTGGTCCTGGGATCAGTTCAATTCCTTGCTCTGCAAGACAGCTTGCTCTCTGAACTTAGCAGGTTAATGAAGTCTGGGTGTCAGTCTCAACCCCTCTCTCTCCTGATGATGATGAGTGATCACTTGAGTGCTTTCCAGCTGCTTTCAATCAGCAGCTGTCACTAGTTAGTTCAGAACCAGCAGTCAGGGCATAAATGCGATTCCTGATGGATGAAGCTTCCCTCCTTGCTTGTTTTGGCCATCTTTGTTCCAGGACTGATATGAACAGCATCACTAAAAAAAAGTTGCTTTAAGGTCCTGAGGCTAATTCCCCCTTGCTGACAAGCCAATTAGTAATGCCTACTGCCGTTTGGTAGGAGTGGCAAGGGACATTGGGCACAACAGGGCATTATTTATACCCCACATATCAACCTAAGTTTGGCCTCAGGGCGGAGACAACAACATTTAGATCAGAGATTCTCAGTCTTTTTAGACTCAGAGCACACCTTGGAAAATGCCAGCTCTTAGTTTTTGCTTCTTTTTTGACTACAGAAAAATATCAGATCAGTTTTTCTGTTGTAAAGAACTCAGAAAGGCCACAACAGGTCCAAATGCTTTTGCTACTACAGATTCCTATTTGAAACCCTGGGTTTATGTTGTGAAGCATGTCTGTACACTTATCAGTGCTAATACTGCATGACACCCCGCAGCACCCTTGAAAGGATCTCAAGCTACCCTGGTTGAGAAACACTGGTTTAGATATACCCTTATACCATTTGCCCAGCAATGCCTGATGCCAGACCCCACTGGAGAAGCAAACCCCTTTGTAACAGGGGACACATCCTTATCTCTTTCCTTCATAGGAATGCTCCACACTATTCTCTCCACAGTGATGGCTCAAACTCACCTCAGTCCTGCTCTCTCTGGGCCCCTCTTGTTTTTGTCTCTGCTGGTAAATGACTCCTGTATGCTTCCTTTTGACACCAAGGTCCTATCCTCCATCCCATTCTCCCTCCCCCAGGGCTGGGCACCCCCCTCTATCCCTCTATCCCAGTGTTTCTCAACCTTACTAGAATCGAGACCCCCTTGAAAAAGGTCAGTTCTGAGCTTTCACTCATCTATGGACTACAGACAAATAACAGAGCTGGTCTTTTGTTGCAAAGAACTGAGAGAGACCATAACACACCAGAGTTTTTTTAACACTTTGGATTCCTGTTTGAAACCTCTGGATTTGTGTTGTGCATCTGGTTTGTACACCTAACAGTACTAGCAGTGTATGGTACCCCACAGCACCCTTGAAAGGAGTTCAGGGCACCTTAGGTGCTGCAGCACTGTGGTTAATGTATCCTGACGCATCCCAGAACCCCCACCCCCACTATCTATCTATACCCACTACCCCCATACATCCCCACCATCTATACCCATCTCTCTCTATCCCCACATACCCTCTATCCCCATAAGACCCCTCTGATCTCACACACCTGCCCCACCCTGTACCCCCTCCCCACTCCTCTCCTTCCAGCAGCTCCCCCTCACCCCACTACTTTCCTCCCCCTTCTCCCATGGGTCTCATAGTTTTCCATATCCAAGGCATGAAGTGTGAACACTGCCGGAGGTCTGCCATCCTGGTTGCCAAAGAAAACGATGCCTTGGGCCACTCAATCGCAGACCAGTGGGCCCCCAGAGTCACCCTGCAACACAGCAACAACACAGGGGTTAGGACCGTAGCATCCTTCTGTGACCCCTTCCCAGGGATAACCTCAGTGTCCAGACTCCTGCTTTTCATCCCCAGCTCTGCGAAGGGAATAGGTCTGGTGGGTTAGAACAGTCAGCGGGGCTGGAGTCGGGACACCTGGGTTCTACCCCTGCCTCTTGCATCAGAAGAAAGTGTATGCCCCTCTGAACCAGTTAGTCTCTAAGGTGCCACCCTGCCCTGCCCTGCCTTCTGTCTGCCTGACTTCAGACTAACACAGCTACATACTTCTATCTGGCTGTAGGAGGGGGGTGAGACAGAGGGGCACTGCTGGGCAAGGAAGGGGACAATCAGGGCTCCTGGCTTCCTTCCCAAGTTATGGGAGGTGAAGAAGGTTTACTGGTATTGTGTAGATGGGTTAGCAAGTGTGGTATCAAGCCCAGCATCGCTCTCTCCTAGCAGGGCTGAGTCTGGACTTCTACTGTTGGGACTGGGAACGGTGTATGGCACTGGTTCTCAACTGTTTTAGATCCAAGGCACTCCTCCCCAGCCGAGTGGAACTGTCTCACATACCTTGTTTCTAAGAGAGGAGTGCAGACCTGGACTAGGAAACACTGCAACAGGAGCACTCCCTCCTTCCTACATTAGGTTTGTCTGATAAAGCAGGCAGGAGCGCCCGCTCCTGATCTAGCTCCACATGAGGCATGATGGGCAGTTTCACCTGGCTGCAGTGGCCACAGCAGCAGTGCACATGCCACAGCACCCCTGAAAGGGTCTTGCAACACACCAGAGTGCCACAGCACCCCAACTGAGATACACTGGTGTAAGGTTAGTGCAGTGATTCTCAACCAGGGTGCCATGACACTGCAGGGTGCCAACAGGTTCCTTTTGAAGAGTGCCACAGGGTATAAAGAGATAAGCATAGGCTCAAGCTTGTTCCTGCCTGGCCTGTCTCCTGCCCCCACTGCCCAGCCTCTCTTGCAAGGTAATATATGCATTAGGTTTTGAAAGCGGGTGCAGTTCAATTCACAAAATTATGGGTGGGGGCCTTGAGTGTAGTGAGAGGTGCCTCGAGTCCAAGAAGGTCAAGAACCACTCATCTAGAGCATGGAGCAGGCCTGAGAGTCATGCTTCTTCCTAGGTACTATTTCCAGCTCTGCCACTGACTCACTCTGTGTCCTCAAGCAAGTCACTTAACCAGCATTCCCAAGGCCTCCTTTCTGAGAAGCTGAGCTAACAGAGGCTGCATGTGCACAACTATAAGAGCTGTGATAAACCCCCATGAGAGATTATTAAAAAGAGAAATTATTAGAAAGAATATCTAATGTACCTTAAATGGTGTCTTCAATCCTTGGGGATCATCTGCACACATCATGGTGCAGGGGTCATATTCCCTGGCAAACCTCTTCTGACAGGCGGTATCATTCACTCTCAGATCCACTTGCTGCAGAGTGGCTGGAGGAAAATGGCTCTTCACTGACGTATCCCCCCAGCCAGCAACATTGCAAATGGTCCCTTTTTTCACCCGGCATCTTGGCTTAGGGAGACGTATAGGTTTCACTGCCTTAGTCAACCTGGCTTTATGCTGGAGCTGACAGATAAAAGATGCATGACAACTCAGTGGGGTTATGCCTCTTGCCAGATTTCTGTTTAAAAGATGCAGCTGTAATGGAACTGGTCAAAAACCTATAAATCAAAATATTGCCCCTCCTTCATCCTCCTTGCAAAATAGAAGTGATTATATTCCTAATAGCATAGCTGCATTTTTCTAATTGATCTGCCTACGTGCACGCGGTAAGCAAAAGGTGTGTCAGCTTCTGGCATGAATTAATAGTTCATGCTGTTGATCTGTTCACTGTCTCAATAAATCTGTTCTTACAGTATATGTGAGCAGAGCAGTCATTTGCTCAGCTGACCGCAGCTCTGACAACTCAGAGCAGTTTGTGGGCTGCTATATATTACTGCTTTACTCCCCGAGCCACTGGACAATAGCAGAGCTTTTCTTCACCATCCCCTGACTTATACCAAACACTGGAACAAAGATAATGGTTAAGGAGACCTTTGCATCTTAGTTGGACTGGTCTGCTTTGCAAAGGTCATGCTTTCAGAAGCCCCAGTTCCCCCTAACAGAGTCCTGGCTCTGCAAGCCGACCGATTGTGTCAGAGAAATTGTGAGAGCCCAACTATATCTGGACATTGGTAGGAAAAACGGAACAGAAGCAAAAGGACTGAAAGTTGACTACTGTGACTGACTTTCATTTTGCTTCCTGTTCCTTGGTGACCACAAGTGGGTCTATAGTTAGCCTCTTAGGGAGCCAGGATGGAAACTCACGTGAGCACATGACTTCAGCATACATAACGGGTGGGCAAAAGGACAGATCTGGCTCATGGCTGGACTCCATTTTCCAGCAGCCCCTGCCCATGCGGCTCCCAGCCAGTCTCCCTGGAAATCCCAGTATCGCGGGGCCATTATAGTGTGGGGTCACAGAAATGGGGCTCTGCCCTGGTGCCACACTGTCACGGCCACACATCCCCGCTGCATACCCTGCCCATGCAGGTTCCACACCCGGCGGCGGGTGCAGGGCAGATGGACCAGGGTGCCCAAGCAGCAGGGCTGGGTCCAGTGGCAGCAGCCAGGAGTTACTGCTCCAGGGACTGCTGAGAAATGGAGTCTGCCATGAGCCAGATTTGCCCACCCTGATACATAGTAACATCAGTGGGAAATGGTGTGATATGGTGGTTCATCTAGCAGCATAAGCTCACTAGAGATAAGCACTGTGATGACATAGTAGCTGCAGTCACACAAAATTATTGAGAATGGGGGTGTCATCTCAGGGCAGCACCTGAAATAGGGTCAGGTCATTAGCGACAGGGAGATGTGATGAAGCTTGCATCTGAACCACTGTGAGCATAACGGGGGCCAAACCCTGTTACTGAGAGCAGGGCCAGGCAGCAGAGGTAGAAAGCTTCAAACCCAGATAAAAAGCAGCTGGCAGCTCATTGAGTAAAGGGCTGCTGATGGGACCAAGGAAACACCTGTAGCCTGCTGAGAGGCTCCCACATCAGGTGCTGAGAAGGAGGAATGAGAGGTAAAGGGGGCAGTCTGATATGGGTAGAGCTAGGAGAAGCAGCGCAGGGAAGTGGAGAACGGCCCTGACTGCACTCGCTGGAGGAGCCCCGGGCTGAGCAGAGAGGCAGTGCAGGGACTGGAGAGCTGCAAGCAGGCCCAGGAGGGCCTGAGCCGGGGGCAGCAGCAGAACTGCGGAGGAGCAGGGGAGCACATGGGGAAAGGCACCCAGTGCCCTTGGTTGTGTTAGGGTTTTGCTTTAGGCTCCTGATAGGCTGTGAGGCCTGGATGTGGCTGAGGGGTGGAGAAGGAGGCCACTGAACATGCCCCACAGAGGGGCTTAGATGAGTGCTGCCCTGGTGGGCTGCTGGAGCCTGTGAGCTGTGAGCAGGCTGTCGGAGCCCGAGAGATGGTGCAGGGCTGCGCACCCAGGACCCCCCAGGGCTCTGGTGGCAGCTCCCAGAGTTGTTAACAATGATTAAGGCATGGCAGGTGAGGACAGGGTGGTATGTGGAGTGACCCCAGAGTGGAAGGGGTGGGATCAAAGTGGGCACAAGGAGGCACCACTCTGGCTGCTGACAGCAGATGTCTCTACAGAGAGGCCGCGGGGCACGGAGATGGGACAGTACCTGCAGCAGCAGAATGTCGTTTTCCAGAGTCATCTTGTTATATTTCTTGTGAGGGAACATCTTCTGCACTCGGATCCATTGTTGGCTCTTCTCTTTCTTGTTCAGATTATGGGCTCCCAGATAAACAGTGATGTTCCTCAAAGCAAAAGAGCCAGAGCTGAAACCTAACCTTGGGAATCGCTACACGGTACTGCCCAGCCCACCCGGGGTCCTTCCATGCACATGTCCTCTCCCACCAGCTCTTTGACCCCAGTTCAAGCAGGATTTGTCCCTTGCTCCATTTGCTTCCTTCCCTCAAGGCCAAGTGAAGCTTTGTCATAATGACCAAGGTTTGTTACTGAAACCAGCAGAAGAGAAAAGCTGGCCACTGAGTCACTTGAAAGTTTAGAGATCAGAAGATTTAGGTTGAGTGGAAAATTAGGAGTGCAGGTCAGTAAAACTTAAATAGGGCTGGGCAAAAAGACAGACACACTTATTCGCTGGTTCTCAGGAAGCATTTCATGAAATCTATGCTACAAATTCTCACCTTTTGATATTTTGTGGTTTCCCTTTGGCTGGTATTTCTGGTTTCCCCTTAGCTTTTTTCTCATGTTCATGACCTCTCTTCCTCCCTCCCCTCTTTTGTTTTATTTTTTCTATTGTACCACAGAAAAAGGGTGTGGGAAGAACAATGAGGACTCACTTAAAAAAAAAAAAGAAGGAAAATAATGGAAACAATTCCCAAAAGCTAACTTTCTTTTTCTGCTTTTACTGAAAAATAGATTTTTTTTTCCTTGTAAATAACTTCAATTTGGTCAAAATGACATTTTTAGTCAAATAATAATTTGCTTAAAACATTCTCTTCAGGTCAAACTTCTCTTATGTCTTTTCCACATTCCTTTTTGGAAGGCAAAGTTTTGGTAGGTAGGTAATCATTAAAACAACAAAGAGAAGTAAAAATTAAAGTAAATGTTTTTAAAGGTAGAAATAAAACATTCCCAAACAAAAAATGCTAAATAAAAAGTTTATATGGTGATCAGGTAGCCACCCACTAATGCTAACACAAACCTTGAAGGGTGCTTTCAAAAGTGAGATCATTATCAAATGATGTTATGCTTGGTTAAAGTTAGACATCCTTGTTTAAGAAGTCATTAATTAATAACAACCAGACATTGTTGTTGATCATTTAAAGTCAGGTAGACAAATAAATGGGTTGCTTCAGTTAAAAGTGTGAGCAGGTTTCTATTAATGACCAATTAACTACAAAATATATGTAAAATGTGTGGTGTTGATCATTAAAAGAAAACCGAGTTCTCATTAATAGTGATGGGGATTGGGCATCTCCTCAAAATATCACCCTCTTCAAGGTTAAACCTTAGCTCTGCCCTACCACTTTCCTCCTCAGTTCTGGTCCCTCCTCTCTTCCCCACAATGTCTAACCACAATAATCTTCCCAATCTTGCAGAAAATGGAGATTTGGCAGAGGAGATGATGTCTGAATTTCTTACCTTCCCTTGCCACAATGAGCAGCCGTTATTACAAAGTTCTTGCTCACCAGGAACCCACCACATTCACCATTATAATTCTCACTTCTGATTTTCAGGAGGGCCATGTAGGGTTTGGAATGGGCCTTCACTCGCCGGCCACCGATTATCTTCCCTTTAAAAAAATATTCAGAGCGAATTAGGCAGGGGCCATTGTGCTGTACTTTCTGCATGGGTCCAACGCAACCAAAGATCCCTCCTCTCTTAAAGCTATTTGGTGGTCTGTGTGTGGGGTCTCAGCTCAGTGTGCGTCTGCCATTGTATTGGCATTAACCAGTTTCCTTTCTGGCAGCCCCAGCACAGAGGACATAGGCTGAGTGGGTGGCATATACTGTACTGAATGCTCCCCTTCTCCCTTGCATAATTTCATACTTGTCTAGTGAAGGCAGTAGAGAGAGACAAAGCTAACAGGTCCTTTCTCTGTTATTAAGAAGGGAGTGAGGTAGGAGTCACAACTCCTGAGTTTTATTCCTGTTTCAGTAAGAAAGCAGAATCAGACGAGTTGGGTTGGAAGAGGCCTGAGAGTCATGTCTCCTGGATTCTATTCCCATTTCTCCCAATAACTTCATGGATAATGCCGAGCCAGTCCCTTTTCCTCTCTGGCTGGTTGCCATATGTAAAATGCAGATAATGAGCTTCATGTATTAAACTGCTGGGGCTGACAAATGGGAAGATGAGATCCTCAGGTGAGATGGAGGGCTCAATGCGGGACAAATGGGAATACTGTCATTTGTGGCTTTAAGACAGATCACTACATTCATTCCCCTTTAGTTAGGTCAGTAACATGGTAATGGTGTTACATCAGCATTGCCAACTGTTTGTATATTTAGGAACCCTCCACAAATAACCAGGCTAAAAATTCCTATCCATAAATTGCATGAAGAAATGTGCCATCTGTAAAAACATGAAGCAAAAACAGCTCCATGAAATCAGCTCTGTAAAAATAAGCTGAAGCTGAAGATCCATGGTCGAAAAAGCACAGGAAGCGTACAACAGTGCCAGTGTCTGAGCAGAAGTATAGCACCCTGAATGCAGCTCCTGGGGCTTTGTGGGTCCTTCCCCAACCCTCAGCCATGTTCTGGTACTGCCTCCTGTCTATGGGTGTCAGGTAGGCAGAGAGTGGAGCTGGTGGGGCAGCACAGTGCCTGGTGCAGTCCAGGGGAACTGGGTGTCAGGGTTAGTAAGGGACTTGAGGGAACATTGTGTTAAACTATGGTCACATTCAAGTACAGTTGCCATCCCAAGAAAACTTAGGTTTTTGCTGATAATCTGCAAATTTACTGATGACTGAACTTGTTAACTATACCCTGTTTTGGGGCCTAGGATAAGGGTTCCATTTACATTACATAAAACAGATGTCAGTGAACATGTTTGTCAGTTAAAAAAACTGCACATTTTCCAAAGAAAAAAAGAAAAGAAAATGTCTTGGGTAGGCAACCTTGTGTTGCATGGAGGAATCAGGATTTCCCTTGTATTGAATGGGTACTGAGGTCTGTGGACCTGTTAAACCTAGACAACAGATGCTTCTCTCACCAACCCTGGCACAGATATAAGCTCAGGGACTTCACCCAGAAACACAAGGTGTCTAACAATCAACATTTAAGGCTATAAAGGATTATTAGATCAGCCAGTCTGAACTGTAGTGCACACTTTGCTAGAAAACAACTTCTCTTCTATGAAAAACAACATCTTTTCAAAAAGTTTCCTCCCAGGTGGAACAAAGAGTTTAAAAAAAGCAGATCCCTGACTCTCCAACCCTCCTGCCTGATTCCCCCCAGACTTTTCAACACACCTCCATGTCCCTGCAGACCGGTCCATCAGAGCTCTCCCGTGGGGCACTCTCCCAGCAGGGATGTCTTAACCTGTACAGGATAGGACAGTACAGTTCACTTGGCTTCCCCTGTACTCAGCACAGTGACTTGTGTTTGTCAAAAGCATCTTTCAGGAAGACAGGTAGTCTAGGTGTGCAGGTTTAATCACCCTCCTTGTGCCTTGTTTCTTATTTGAATTTTCCAGCTTTGGCTTCCACCCACTGGGCCTTGTTCTATTTCTTTCTCCCAGTTGTAAGAGCTTTTCCCTAGTTTCTATTTCCCATGTCATTGTCATTGTACACTGAGATGAAGTCACCTCTTGGTCTTCTGTCTGAGCAGTCAAATAAATTGCTTTCTTTAGGTCACTTGCCATCAGGCACTTCCCCAACCCCCAAACCACTTCTGTTGTACTTCTCTGCACATTCCAATGTTTCAGTATTTTAAAAATAATATGGTATCCCTCTAGAGCTTAGATAAACTTACTGAGACCTCTGCAACCCCAGCTACTAAGCAGGTGCTCTGGCAGAACTCATGGACCGCCTCCATCCCTACTGCCCTTGATCTCTTTTACTTACCAGCCTGAGCCCAAGGGAGAAGGAAGAAGACTGTGGGGAGCAAAAACATCAACTGCATTGTCACAGGAAAGTGCACTGGCCCCTGTGGAGCTGGGGGTTATATGGCCTGGAGGTGACCTCAAGGTGAAGTTCACATTCACAGTGGTGGGGACAGGGGTGGGATCTGCCCCTGCAGGACAGCGATCTCGCATGAAGTGCTGGAAGGAAGACAGACCCTCCAAAGCTGGGGGTGTTCCCCTTACAGCTGGGTAACACATGAGTAGGCTCAACCTCTGCAGAGGAGCTGGGAGCTGATGGACTTGTTAGCTGTAGCTCTTTTCCCACGTCAGAGCTATTGGGTGGTGGCTGTGGTTAACCCCGAGCTATTTCAGTTTCGGGTGAGAATGTAGCATTTGATCCTTCTGGACAGACCATCAGCGTAACAGGGTCTGCACTCTAGTTAGCACAGTGCTGAAAACCATGGTGCAGCAGCTGGGTGCTCTTGGTGTGCAAGTACCTTGGAGCCCCAGCACAGACTCCAACCCAATCATGCCAAGTGCTGCACAAGCACAAATAGGACAGCACAACCACTAAAGAATTCATGTAGAAGCAAGTGCAAAATATGTGGCTGAGATCTGCCAGGACACACTATGGACAGGAACAAGTTTTGGTTTCAGCCAAATGTTCCCTCAGAAGTTTTAATTTTTTTCCATTGAAGAAAAATCAAATTATAGCTTCTTGCCTCTAGATTTTTGGTGCAGGGCCTGGGAAGATCCAGCTTGCATGCCTACATGTACAAGGCCAAGACACCTATACCTAAGCTAGAGACCCCAAGATCAGGCTCCATGAGGGTGTGGGCAGAGGACACATTATACTGGTTTAATCAGCAGTGCACAAGTGTGACAAGCGTGGGCTTCCTTCTCATCTGTGGAGAGCTCAGTCACTTACTGGCAGTAGGGCCTCAGCTCCCTCCCCCACACTCTGGGCTATAGGTGAGAGTTGTGGTTAACCCGATCCCCCGACTTTTGGGTGAGAACACAGCTCTTTGTTCTTTCTCAACAGACCACCAGAGTGACTGTGGCCAACCCTTGGCTGAAAGGCACTGGAAACTTGGAGATGATTGTGATGAAAAGGGTTGAGTGGTTTCAGCTCTGGCCTGTAGACCTTGTGAGGAGCAACTGGGAAGATGGAAGGGGGAGCTCACTGTGAGCATAGCTTGGTGTCAAATACTTTGTGGTGTCAAATAATTGCTATAAATACTCATAGAAGCAGGACAACTTGATGCCCTTTTCCTCCTGGGGGGAGATGGCAGTCTGGGCCTGGTGCCAGTGCTCAGAGATCAGTTCCCCATGACCTTGTATTTCATTGTATTGGGTAGGTGTTGTCCCCAGGTTAATACTAGTGTTTTGTACCTGCGTTGTTGCAAGGGTGGCTCACTGGGGCCCGAGGAAAATGATTGAGGCTAGTAGCACTGCTTATTTGGAGCCAAGCAGAGCTGCTGTGCTGTTGGGGATGCGGGCACTCTGACACCCTCCTCTTCAAAGAAGCCGAACCCACTTCCTCCCCAGGAGCTCTCCAAGGCGGAGGTGGTACAGATTACCAAGGGCAGGGAAAAGCCAGGGCCTCAAAGCCAGAGGCTGTCATGCTCTCACAATGAACCAGGGCTGGGTTCAGGGAGATCCTCTCAGGAGAGGGAGACCAGATGAGGCTGCTGCTTGGGAAATCCCAAGACAGAGCGTCCCACCCACTCTCCATCATGAATGGGTGCTGGTCCCATGACAAATCTCCACTGCCATTTTGTCTCCAAGAAACAGTTTGGTACCAGGGACCCTGTACCTATTCTCCTCCCCTGAGCCAGCCAAGGCCCTTCCCAGGGCCCAGTGTGCAGTCAGCTCCCCAGAGCTGGGAAGGGGCAGACAGAGGTTTGGCACCACCTCGGTCCCTGGAGCTGTTGAGCACCTGTGTGAGAGTGGGGTTGGTCACCCTCCCTGCATGCGGCATGGAGTTGGATCTCACCAACCTCCTGGACCAGGGGCAAAAACACTGTAGCCCCATGTGGGCCTGAGCTGGGACCCTGAGGCTCACCCCTGCTGATTCAGCAGGCCCCGCATCACCTCCAGTCCTAGGCAAAGTCTAAATGAGCTTAAATAGCAGAAGGGGGTGCCTGACAGTGGGGTCCCTGGCAATAACATGAAATTAGGCTTTGGGCCCTAGCTAGGCACTGGGGAGACATCTCTAAATGCTGCCCAGCGGCTCCAGCACTCCACAATCCTGGAACTCTTCATGTGATGCAGTGCTCGCAACTACTAGACCCGGGACCCGGCCAGTCTGGGGCTTCCTGTGAACTATCACTGCATGAGACCAATGAGCAGGTGAAGGAAAGGGTGTGGGAGTGCCTGTATCCTGGATGGCAATACCTTGTCAGGTCCTGGGGATGTTGGGGAGCCCAGACTGAGAAATGGATCTCCATACCTAGAGTGGTGTTACTTCGTGAAACTAACAGGACTTGAGACACCTGCAGCAACTGCTGCTTAAAGCCGTTTATTGCCAAGAAGAGCATGTTGTAGGATTTCACTGAAACATTGCAAGGAAAGGTTTTCACACTAGAAATGAAGAAACAAAAGAGAAGAGAATGGCACCAGGGACCTTTCCTCTCTGGCAGGCTCCAGCTTCAATCCATCCACAGGAGAAGGTCTGTCTAACACAGGAGAGTTTGGTAATGAGGTAAAAGGTCTTTCTATGTGTGGGGCTGGCTGGAATCTAGCCCCAGAGTGAGGAGAAATCAGTTGTATCAAGACCCTCTGGGAATGGGATATTGGGTTCTTCCCTCAAGGAAGAAGGAAAGGGAATACAGGCTAGCTCAGGGTATCCCTGTGTAATGATGGCAAGTGTCCAGGAACATCCTGACATGCTCATGACAGAGTTGGGACTCGGAGAGGAACGTCCCAGGGGAGTGACTGCAGGGGAGCAGCACAGCAGCTTACAGTCAGCCTCCCTCTGGCACAAGCACAAAGAGCTCCCCAGAGCTACTCCTGGCCCATGTTCTCCTCTATCCAATCGATGTAGGCCGAGACCCGAGTATAGACAGCAGGAGGAATGCCACTGTGTTTTCCAAAGGACACGATACCCTGGGCTATACCTTTGCAAACCAGAGGCCCCCCGGAATCACCCTACAAAAAGGAGAGAAAGGAATCATAGAGTTGTGGAATCCTAGAGCAGAGGTCACCTAGTCCAAGCCCTGCCTGAGGCAGGATCAGCCCTACCCAAACCATCCCGTACCTATCCACTGTCTAACCTCTCAACTAAACAACAATAATTCCTGACTAAACAGAAGACATAACATCCAAACCTGCCACAGGTAAAGCAGGGGGACCATGGTAGCCAAGGTCCTGCCAGTATTAAAATATGCTCGAGAAATCCAAGGCAGAGGGCCATGCCTCAACAACAGAAGAAGGAAAAAAACACCTCCAGTCCACCCCAGTTTGACCACGGGGTAAAGTTCCTTTCTGGTCCCAGATGTGGCATTGGTCTGGCCCTGAGTGGTGGGGAAGGCCCTCTAGCCAAGAACCTCTGGGTTTATGTCGCTGCATGAGCCCTGGCATGGTCCAGTCAAAGTCCCCAAATACCATTGCCTCCAGGAAGACTTAGAAACACCCTGGACATGTGTAGCTGCAGGAGTGGAAAGAATTCCCTCCCAGCCCCATGTGGCAGCCAACAAAGCGCCAAAGCAGGGGAAATACCTGCAGTAGTACCTGGACACAACTACACCTAGCTCATCCTCAACCAGTGGCTGTCCAGCCTCTTCTTGAAAACCTCCAGCGACAGAGGCCACAGCTTCCCAAAGCATCTGTTCCTCACTGCTCTAACAGTGAAGAAGTTTTTTCTGATTTCTAGTCAAAATCAACTTTGCTGAATCTGCAGACCACTAGGTGCTCTACTTGCTGCAGCAAAGGAGAAAAGGTGTTTTCCTCTCTCTTTCTGGTGCCCTGCATATATCTGAAGACTGCTGTCATGTCTCCTCTTAGGTACCTTTTCTGCAAGCTGAACATGCCCAGCTCCTTCAGCCTCTCTTCCTATGTCTTGCCTTCCAAGCACTTTAACTTCCTTGTCATCCATGTGTAGACCCCCCCCCCCTCACTTATCCATGTCTTTCTAGAAGTAGGCTAACATGCCAATTGACTGCCAGTTTTCTCTGAGAATCAGGCCTCTTTGAAAGCCCATCTATTTGAACCCCATCTGGGCATGAGAGCAAATGGAAATATCAAGATATCATGGCTGTTTACACTCACATACAGCACTTTGTAGTATCAGGATCAAGCCTGGAAAATAGTGGGTTCGTTTAACACCTTCCTTTCCAAGTGTAGCAGGCCAAGCTGTTAAATGACTTCATGCCATGCTGGGAATTCAGTATTTTAGTACTGAGCTCAGCATAGCAGGAGGAGGAGCTGCACTGTAGGAAGCAAGGTTGGGCCAAAAGTTACCTTGAAAGATGACTTCTTGTCTCTGCTGTCTCCCATGCAGATCATCAAAGTAGAGTTGAAAGAGCTATACAAGCGCCTACATTGCTCCACATCACCCATTTTCAAATCCACCTCTTGGAGTTTGTTGGATGGCCGGATAATGTGCACTCCAGTCCTTCCCCATCCAGCCACGCTGCATGTGGGTCCTGGTTTCAGCACATTATTAGCTTGGGGCAGACGAATCAGGTCCACGGTCTTGGTTATTTTAGCTTTGCGTGCCAGCTTCCATTGGGAGGACAGAGGGAAGAAGAAGGAGATATATCATGCCCTCTAATTTGCTGGCAATTGCAGCCAGAGTAAGACCAATGCTGAGAGTTTGGATTTTGCTGCTCACTCTCTCCAATAGTTTCTTCAAGCTCATTAATGTACCTTGGGAAGAGGGGCTACAAAAGTCCCCATTTAGCAAAAGGGACAGTAAGGCCTAGGGCTGAAGGACTTGCATGAAGTCACCCAGAAGGGGTGCATCTACATGTGCAATTAATTTGATGTAATAAACTCTGGCACTTATTCACAGGAGTTTATAGCTCTTGAGAACAATATTTGAACATGTGCCTGGGACTGGGAAAGTAAGAGCCAGATCAGAGCAGCCCTGGGTGGCAGGGGTCTGGGGATTCAGCCTGCCAGCCTCGTGTTGCTCCAACCTGGCTCAACATGCTGTAGAGGGACTGGCTGGAGCATAAGGGTGCTCCAGTGCGGGGCTAGCTGGTGGGCAGCCCGCACACTGAAGTACTCACATGCTGCAGCCACCCCTGTCAGCATCTACACATGGTTTTCAGCACATGAAAAAAACTCTGCTGCAGGATAGTACTTGTATTTACAGCAGAGTTTATTAATTTACTGCGACCTAATAGGGCTACACATGTAGGCACCAAGAGGTTTACAGCAGAGTTAATTAGGCAATTCCACAGTAAACATTTGTGTAGATGTGCCCAGTACACCACTAATGGACCCAAGACTGGAGCCTAGGTCTTCTGGTGCCCAAATCCCTCTGCCTGGTATAAAGGCAGGTCTGCCCTGCAGCTTTGACATATCCTCGCTGGGACACTTCTGAGCATTTGCCCCCACACACTCCAGCTGACAAACACCAAACCCCCAAATCCACAGGAAGAGCTTGCAGGCACAAGCAGACATACCCAACTCCCCAGTCCTCACTCCCCTTTCCAGAGTCAGAGATAAAACAAGGCGCCCCCACTATTCCTTTTCCTTCTTACAGATGGGAAGAACACCTACAGGTCCTGACTACCAGGGTCCTGCTCTAACCCATTACTGTTACTCACTCCCCTTCTAGAGCAGGGGTAGCAAACACAATCATAGCTCCCAGGGGCAGGTGCCTTAGCCACTAGACCTCATCCTCTGCTAGCCGTAGAGAGGGAGCTTCACACCTGCTATGTGCAGAGAAGCACAGCCCTTCCCCAGCACCCTCTCGTTATGCACAGTACCTGGAGCAGCATGATGTCGTTTTCTTTGGTTCTCCTATTGTAGTTCTCATGAGGAATTATGTCTTGCACAGCAATTTCCTGCCTATTCTTCTCCGTCATGCTGAGGTCATGGGCTCCGAGAATGACTCGTGTATTGTTTCCCTTTCTTTGAGGCCCAGACTGGCTGAAATGGTATAATTCTGACTTCAGGAAGGATACTCAATCCTAAGGGTTATATTTTGATGTCTCTGGCTTTGTTCCTGGCTGCTCCCTAGCTGTTTACTGCTGCTAACTCCTGACATTTTACCACAATTCTTCTGATAGTCCACATTTTTCATCAAAACCCCAGCTCCTGACATAATGGGATTACACAAAATTTCCCACTTCCGATTTGTTTTTACTGATATTTCAGGAAAGAAGAGCTGGACTCAGAGTCCAGTAACAGAGCCAGGATTGGAATCCAGGAGTTCTGGTGCCCAAATCCCTCTGCCTGGTCGAAAGGCAGGTTGACCCTGCAACTCTGACATATCCTCGCTGGGACACTTCTGAGCACACGCACCCACATGCTCCAGCTGGCGTACACTAAACCCCCAAATCCACAGGAATTGCTCATAAGCACAAGCATATATACCCAACTCCCCAGTCCTCATGTCTCTTTCCAGACTCAGGGATAAAACAAGGGGCCCTCACTGTCCCTTTTCCTTCTTACAAATGAGAAGAACACCTACAGGTCCTGACAGCCAGGGTCCCGCTCTAACCCATTACTATTACTCACTTCCCTTCTAGAGCAGGGGTAGGAAACACAAGACACAGCTCCCAGGGGCAGGTGCCTTAGCCATCAGACCCCAAAACCTCTGCCAGCCATGGAGGGAGCTCCACAGCTGCTGTGTGCAAAGGAGCACAGCCCCTCCCCAGCACCCTCTCATTATGGACAGTACCTGGAACAGCATAATGTCATTTTCAAAGGTTTCTTTATTGTAGTCCTCATGAAGAATCATGCACCGCACTGCAATTGCCTGCCTATTCTTCTTTGAGGCCGTGACAGGTGAGACAAGCAGGTGATCCCACAGGCAGCCAGTGTGGGCCAAGCAGGTCCCATGGGGCTGCCCAGGTTGTCAGGGTCAGCCTCAGAGGTGTCCTGTTACAGGACCCCTGCTCTCACTCGGGGTCAGTGCAGCATTGGGATGGACAGAGGCCCCATTCTCTGTGCTGGGCAGGGGAAGAAACCCGTCTCCTTCAAGAGGGGTCAAAAACTACCCTGCCTGGGGCAGCCCATTCCCAACAATGGCCCACCACCACCAGGAAAGTCAGGGAAGGATCAGCTTGTCCATAGCAGCCAGGCATCCACATCGGGAAGCTCTTGGAGAGGATCATCAAGGAGCATATCTGTGGGGGGCCTGCAGGGGAGATCATGCTCAGGGGCAATCAGCATGGCTTCACCAAAGGCAGGTCCTGCCAGACCAACCTGATTGCCTTTTATGACCAAGTAACTAAATCCTTGGATGATGGTGTCACTGTGGACATAGTCATTCTAGACCTTAAGAAGGCCTTTCACACTGTCTCTCACCCCATCCTCACCAATAAATTAAGTGACTGCAGCATTGATGCCTGCACAGTTGGCCCAGGTGGCCCCTCTCGATCCCACACAGAGGTCAGGGATGGAGGAAGGTGGTAACATTGCAGCCAGGTACGTGCAGAGTGTAACTGCTCTGCAGTACTCTCAGTGCCAAACAGAAGGACAGTGGACCACTGCACTCAATTCCCAACCCAGATTCAGAGCTGGAAGGACCCTGGCCTTGCAGACAGGACCAGCTGCTGCCGGGAGGCACAGAGGGGAATCTCACCCTTTAGGAAGACAATGTGCAGCTGTCAAGACGAAATCCTTTCGCACCAGGAACCCTCCACACGGAGAACCTTTTATCTCCACAAAGGCCATGTATGGTCTTGAGTGAGGTTTGGCTTCCCGGCCACCGATGATTTCCCCTGGGAATCCCCCATCCCAGAGAGACACAAAGTCAGGAGACAGAAGTCCACAATCTCCTACCTCCCTAAATCTCTCGGACCACAGCTCTGGCTGGTCAGAGCTCCCTGTCCCTGGCAGCAGCACCAAATCCTGCCCCTGAGCTGAGCCCCTGGAAATGTTCCTCTTGGTCCCCGCCCCCTGAGAAGCTCATGTCCACACACACAGCACGCTCATCCCTTATGAGCTCCAAGTCCCAGGGACCAGATTGAAGTTTAAATCTAACTCCCTGTGCAGCGCCTTGAAGAGAATGGGCTCAGCTCCCTGTGAGTCTGGGGGGAAAAGCCTCACCCTTCTCTGTACTCACCAGCCAGAGCCCCACTGGACAGGAGCGAGCTCACGAGAAACAGGGGCAGAAGCATCGCTGGAGCCCGACTCAGAAAGTTCACAATGCCACTGCTTTAGTGGGGTTATAAAGAGCAGGCTGTGGTGGGACAGGAAACCTCCATGTGACGTCCCCACACACCAGGCCTGGGTACAGCCCTCCCTGTTACTGGAAACCCCACTCTGTGGAGATGGGGAGTAAAGACCACATCCTCCCAAGTCATCCTTCCCACATGACTTTGCAACATGAGGGGATGCTCAGCACCTGGGCTTGTATTCTGCCAGGGCTGTATCCTGCCATGCATGCCTCATTCTCCTTTGCCCGGGCTGCAGCAGCCTTGTACTCTGCAGTGTTTGTCACTGCCCATACCCACGTCCCCTGCACATCCAGAGCTGAGCTGGGGGGGATGTGACTTACTAGCCAACACAACTCACTCAGCTCTCTCTCCAGCTCAGTGCTAGTGCAGCAGGGGCTGTGGTTAACTCAGACTCATCTCAGTATCTAGTGAGAACTGGGGCCACACACTGGAGCTCAGACGTCACTGTCTCAAGGCATGTGTGACAGCAGGATTTTCAGCAATGGCCTGTTCGAGATCAAAGGGCAAAGTGCTCAGTTCCTACCAGTTGAGCCAGCTGGTCTCACTGCCCTGGACCTAAAGTCCTCACTGGTGTGAATTGGTTTCAGCTGGTTTAGATCCCCCTTGGTGTAAATCACATGTAGCTCTCTGGGAGGCCAGAACAATTTACACCAGCTGAACATATGGCCCATACAAGGCAGCTGAAAGGACAGACTTGGGGTTCCCATTTACCAAACCTGTAGCAGCCCCTAGGAGGTGTTCACACAGGCATAAATGCAGGCTCTGCAATGCTCTCAATGCCAAGCAGAGGGACAGGGGAGTGGTGGGCTCATTGCCCAACCCTGATTCAGAGCTGGGAGGACCCCCTGGGCTTCCTGGAGAAGAGCTGTGTTGAATGGAGAGGAAGAAAAAAGCCCTGGGCAGATTCAAGGGCTTAGCGCATGATATTCAGTGCAACAGTCCTGGGAATGGTGTGCAACCATGTGGTTTAAAGTAATAAGGAACCACCTGAGCCCAATCTAGACATGTTAAATATTTTTAAGGGGACTTGGCCATTCAAGCACCTCCAAGGCTTTGTCAAGCTGAGACTGGAACATGTTGCTTGAAATAGGACTTTGCTCTCTCATTGCTGGTGCTCCGGTTTTATTGACCCCCGCCATCCTGAGGGCAGCCTGAAAAAAATTGTATGTGCCTCTAATCACCTATAACTGAAAATGCCCTGATCCTTGGCCAGAAAGAATTTGCCAGGATTTTCTCCCAGGCCCCCACGTATCTGTGGGCAGCACTGCACACAGCTCCCAAATTCCCACCCTCTCACACAGGCCACCTTCTCTCAACCCATCTGACTGGACCTTTTCATTTCATTGCACATCAGATGCTGTGTTACATAAAACTTCCAGGTCAATCTTTAACATCAAGGTGGAACTCACATTTGATTTTATGGCATTCGGGATTTGAATCCCCCTTTGTTCTATTTCAATGGTTGAACTTTTCTTTTTCTATCAGATATATGTTTCATTCCCTAATTACTTTCTTATCTCACTTTCATTTGAAAATTTAATTTTAATATTCCATTTTCATTTCATTCCTATTTTAAACTTATTTTCCCTTCTCAATGAGCACTTTGTAATTGCACTTGTTATCTTTGTTCCCTTGCTGGATGCAGGTGGAACCTGCAGCATTGTGAGAGCACTCGGGAAGACTGATGTAACTTTGGAAGTAGATACAGGAACTTCTTGTGAGGTCCCTGGGGGCAGACACATGTATTGAGAGTTGCACATGCTTCCCTTTATGTAATTGGAGGCACAGCACTTGATGTGTTAATTCCTGCAGTATTGTAATGTCCCCCGGAGAAAGACAATGCCATGGGGTCTGTCCTGGCAGCAGTGTAAGGTCAACAGAGATACAGCAATGTTTTGGGTGCAGCACCTTCTTGTGTCCACGTCACTGAAGGGAAAGAGATGACAGGGTAGGTTCCTACAGCATGCAGAGCAAAAGGAGGGTGCATTGAAACGATCCAGACAGCACCAATAGCAGTGTGAGGTTCCAGGAAACTGGGTGATGTGAGTGGGGCCGTAGCAGCAGCATTGTGAACTCACAGGACCAAGGCAATGTGGTTGCTGTTTTGCATCAATGGGTTGGGATGATGTGGGCAGCCAGATAACATCAGCACACAGCATTGCGACAGACACCATTCAAAATTATCCTAAAGAATTTCATCAAAGATGTTGATGAGCCAGATGTGTACAAAGGATCACCTGTTTTATTATGTTGGATCCAACCATGGCACCAATTCAAATGAAGCCTCATTATGTTCTGTTCAAGGCCTGATGCAGAAGTCAATCACCATGTCAGACAGGTGCCTTTTAAGGAGTAGTAAATGCATCATGCTCTACTCCCATTGCACCTGTAATTACACCAAGCGGAGAGGGCCCCATATGTGCTGACTACAAGCATATAATAAGCAAAGCACTAACAAAACATCTGTATCAGATTCCAGTCATGCACCAGCTCCTTGCCTCTCTTGCTGGAATGAAAGGTAAAGTGGCTTAGCACAAATGTATCAACCACTCCTTGTGAATGACATAGCTCCAAACGCACAGATGATCATTATCCACTGAGGAGCAGTCCTACCCAAACTTTGAAATAAGAAATTACACTGGGAATTTTCCAGGGTTTTATAGGAGACTTATTCACAGGTCTACAGGGGGTTGTGCCATTTTTTTATGATGTCCGCATCATAGCAGAGTTTGTGGCACAATTAGCTGCTCGACTACAAGAGGAACATAACAGGAGTATGAAAGAGGCAGATATTTGTAGCAGTTACGTGAAGGAGAGAGAGAGGTTCTGAGGTCCCTGGGGACAGGGTCTCACAATGGGGGTCTTACCTGAAGCATTGTTTGGGGAAGGAGATGTGAAAGGCACGTTTCAGCAGCTGTAGGAAGATAAAGTAGGTAGATAGATGCACTTTGGGTCTAGCTGGTACCTGAAGGCAGAAGCAGTCACTGGGGACTGAAGGATGAGCCAAGGAAGTCCTTGCAACAGTGTTGAATCAGTAGGATGGCGCAATGTGATCTAAGCAGACTCCAAGGTCCCTGGAAGTGGAAACAATGTAATGCCCTTCTCTGCAGTATAAGGTCAGTGATGATGGGATGATATGAGGTGATCTTTATACAATGTCATGATCACAAGAGGAAGGATGGTTTCTGCAGCACTGTGAGGTCCCTATGGGAAAAGGTGATGACAAGGGCAATTACTGCAGCCCTGTGAGATGATTGCAAGGACACTGTGACAAGGGAGATGCCAACAGCTGTATTAGCTCAAAGGGAGTGAACCCAGGCTGCTGGTACCACTGCCACTGCAGTGTCGGATCAGTGGGAGATGGGAAATGTCCCTAGGGAAGGACACGCAGCAGTGTGAAGGCGTGAGGTCTCCAGGCATGGGGTGATATAGTGTCCAAAAAGCAGAAGTCCAATATCCCTCCAGCCTCTGCCCAGTATTGTAGACAGCTGGATTTAATATCTCTGATTTACATTTCTTTGTTTCACTGAAACTTTCAGAACTGGATTCAATTAGATTTCTTGTGGGTCACAAAGGTGTGAATTACTTGGGACGTATGTCCCTGTGAAAGCAAGAGGACAACAAGGAAGGCTTCCTTATCTCCATTCCCTTCCCATTCCCGAACATTGCTTCACACTGGTGTGTCATTCCTCCACCTTCGTTCATGGTCTGACAAAGCTGCTTTGTTTTTGTATCTTCTGTAAGCATTTAATTATAGCAACATAACATTCAATAGATTTTGTTATATTCATCTCTGCTTCTAATTATTTTAAGATGACGTTACAATGTAGAGTATCTGGATTATATGAAGTATGGTTCTTCCTTATACGGTTTCCTTTTTTGGGCTTGTGCTCTGTTGGATTGCATCTAATTAAATATATGAAAGTCCAAATTTGTTTAGCTGACAAAACTAGCTGCCACGAGGTTCAGGCTTCTGGGGTCTTTCTTCCTTAGCCACATTTCTGAAGCTTAGGCTCAGACCTCTTACAAGTAAGGGAGCCTGGCACAGCACGTAGCATTGCCTTACAGCACTTGCAGGTGTGTGAAGGTGCTGGGATGGTACATGAAGGATGTGAAGCCACTCGGGGTGGAGCGATGCGACTCTGGTAAGACTCTGGGATCCCAGGATACAGAGCCATGTGGTGTATGTTGTACTTCCAGCACTCCAGGGTCACTGGAAGACAGACAATGTGACTGGGGAAGTGGTGGCAGCAATGCTGGAGGCGAGGGGTGATAGGAGCAGTGTCATCAGGATTGTGAGGTTCCAGGGGTGGGATGATGGAACATAGGTCTAACCGGCAGCACTGGGAGGTACTTGAGGCAAAGGTATTGTGCTGAGTGTGAAGCCTGCAGCACTGGGTGGTCGGTGGAGCAGAGTGATGCATTTGGGGCCATACCTGAAGTCGTGCCAGCAGGGAGGTGAGCTCACAGGGGTAGTGGTAATAGTAATACGACAATGGCTGTGCCACCACATGCTGA